AATTTCGTTGTGGTGCTTATCTCCTCTGTTATTCTGTTTTACACTCTTGGATTGATAATTAAAGACTTCACTTTTTGGATTACCCCATCGCTGTGTGCCTCATCTACCCACATCGTGACACACCATGTATTTTAAATCTGAGAATAATGAAATTATTTTAAGATGATGCAGTGTAATTTTTTATTTTTTTAATGAGACTTTCTTTTTGGGCAAATCAAAGAAAATTAGATAAACATCTGGTATGTTTCTGCTAGGTGCTGTAAGGGCAGAATTTCCAAACGCAACTTTTGCCTACAGCGCAAATGTAACAATGTAATTGTTTTTTATTGAATCCTCTGTTGACCTATTATCATTAATACACTGTATTTGAGTTCTACTTGTTGAGTATAAAAATAGTATAGATAAAAAATAAATTTGAGTTGCTAATAATAATAATTCATAATCATGCAGTACTTTTTTAAATAATTTTGACCTTTTTTTATTAATTTAACCAAACTTCACATTTAATGCGTTTCACAATTTTGCATGGTTGCAAAGCAGCTTTACATACATACAGACAGAAGGGGGAAGTCGTGGCCTAATGGTTAGAGAGTCGGACTCGTAACCCAAAGGTTGCGGGTTCGAGTCTCGTACCAGCAGGGATTGTAGGTGGGGGGAGTGAATGTACAGCACTCTCTCCTTGCCCTTGAAGGCACCGAACCCCCCAACTGCTCCCGGGTGCTGCAGCATAAATGGCCGCCCACTGCTCCGTGTGTGTGTGTGTTCACTGCTGTGTGTGTGCACTTAGGATGGGATAAATGCAGAGCACTAATTCCTAGTATGGGTCACCATACTTGGCCACATGTCAAGTCACTTTCACTTTTTTTTCACTTTCAGAAAGTAGTTACAAAAGTAAATATGTAAACAGCATATAGTTAGTTTGAAATGGTGAAAGACATTCACGGATTTGATCAGAGGGTTTATTTTAGTAGTAATACACTCCCACGCACCTGTACCAACACACTTTTTTCTCCTTTAATGGTTCTTGTCCCGTACAGACAACGGCAACATTGCACTTTGAAATGTGGACTGCAGCCCTTTGGCCTGTCAAAATATTATGAATTACTAAACAAACTATTTAAAATGATCCTGACCAGTCCTTAAAATTACACAAAAATAAAATGTCAAATAACTTCAGAGACGTTAACTGCATGAAAAGTAGGCTAACAATGTAAAATAACTTCTATTCATGTGTCAATTTAAATCCGCAGCATACTGCAAGACCGTCAAACCGCCAAATCCTTTCATGGTGTTTTACATTAGAAACATTTGTGCAGTGCATTGAGAGTTGAAGCGCGCAGAGAAATGTTACGGATGGTTTTACTCCATCTGCATTCACTGAAACAGTGAGCAGTTCTGCACGTACACATTCTTCCACCGACGAACGGAACTGTGCCGCTTACTGCGCCTATATTAAAAGACTACTCAGCAATTCACAGTCTTTAAAACCATATAATTTGTGCTTTCATTGATGAAAACTGTATTTTTACTTGTAGTAGTACAGTATTTTAAAAAAAACTAGAAAGAAACTACAGTTTTTCCCAGCGCGTCTGCTTTGGTGGCGCACCTAATAAAGTGTCGCAGCGACCCGGATTCGAATCCAGTCGGTAGTGTTTCCTACATTCATTGTTCAAATGCTTGTCCCCAGTGTGTCACTACCGGGTTCCATCCAAAGATGCGAATTTAACTTATGCACAAAACTGGAATATCGCATAAAACATTTGCAAACAAGCATTGTGTCCATCCAACAAGTCAAAGAGACAGGGACGCTGCTGGCCAAATGGGTGCCCTAAGCAGAAAAGTAATGTTGTGCCCCCTCCCTCAAGAAGAAAAAAAAACACCTACTATGATGGGTCAAAATAGAACTTGAATCAAATATAAAAGTAAACAAATAAATTGTAATTCAATTGTATTATTTATAAATTACAATTGTAGCTCTAGATGGCTATGATTTTATTAATACGTTGTCTGATTGGTTTTATGGTCTCAAGCATTCAGAAATTACACAAAATAAAATTAAGCAGTTTTACTATGATGAAACCATGGTTAATTTTGGTAAGGGTTGTGAGGTCCACATGCTTTTGTTGAAGAAATTAAAAAGGCTGTAGCATTTCTATCGCAAAAAGGTGGCCAAAAATTTAAAATTAAGTGTATATATGAATTAAATGTTTGGTCAATATTAAACAAGGATTTGATCCTGTAAGTGTAACAACAACAATTATCAGGCCTTTTGTGTAGATTTTTATTTATGCATATGTATGTTTTTTTAACATTTATGCATATGTAATATTTTTTTTTTTGAGCAACTGGGATGGAATATCAGTTTTCATTTTAAAATGTTGCATTTACGTAAAAAATTTAAAGTTAACATTGCATTAAAAATGTTTGATGCTTGCTTGTGTACACAAACACACCCAACTGATAGATGCAAAATCATAAAATCAATATCATTGCTATCTAAACATTTTTAAGTTAAAAAAAAACACACAAAAAATATTTCAGAGTCAAAAACACATTTTGAACAAAGAATAAATTAATATAATGTATGTATTTATCACAAATACAAGTGAATATCAATAAATAATTGTGTTACTTAATGTCATTATCCTTTTCACCACCCCGTGTATATATCAATCAGCCTCCTTTTGTGAAGTTCTAAGATGGTTTCACACTCAATCCCGCCACTGTGTTTACCAGTGCGTTTGAAAGACTTGGGTGTTTTTTCGAAATAGTGGTGCCAGGTGCCTTTACTGTTCGCACCAAAGCCAAACACATTTACCTAAGCAAAGTAAAACAAA